TCTTTCTTTCTTTCTTTCTTTCTTTCTTTCTTTCTTTCTTTCTTTCTTTCTTGTTTGTTTGTTTTTCAAGACAGGGTTTCTCTGTAGTTCTGTCCGTTCTGGAAGTCACTTTGTAGACCAGGCTGGTCTCGAATTCACATTCCTTTTTTTTCTTTACTGTGTTTTTATTTCTTTTTCCTTTTTTTTTTAAGTTGGAAAGTTTCTAAGGTGAATTGCACAAAGTTACACAGCTGTGCATTTTGATGTGACTTCTGGGAGAGGACACCAGAAACTTCTTCAGCACGTCCCTACCTGTGTGAAACTTCTGCATATCTGGGAGGACTCCATTATTGGCTGACTTTGGGAGTTCAGAATCCCAGCACCCCTGGGGCAGAGACTCACAGCCATCAGCATGCAATGCACTCCTGCCAGATGCAGGGTCACCAGAGACCATGCCCCAAACCTGACTTTGAAAGAGCACGTATGTCCTGACCCATGAGAGCAACCACCCAGGGGAGAGCGAGCAGGGATAAGGTGACAAGGGGCAGTTTTGTTCTTTCTAATACTTAGAAAGGTCACACGAGGCCCAGTAGCTTATAGAAGCGGCATCTCTTTTACTCAAGCTGTGCTTTTGCTTTGTTTTTATATGGTTGGAGAACCCTTGTCCAGACACTGTCTTTTCCTCATTGCAAGAGCTTCGCTGTGTTGCCAACCAAGTCACCTCCACCATCTGAGGTTGTCTCTTCTGCTCCTGCAAAAGGCAGCCACCCGCCTTCTCATGCTCTGCTTCTCTCCCCTCTCAGCGGCCCTCTTTGCAGAGTTTTTCCATACAGCGGATCCCTTGGAAGAGAGCGTGTTTGTCTGTATGAGGGAGGATAGCTTTGTATGCGCTTGGCCGGCTGCGGTTCCGTCTATCGGAGATTCAGCCCAAGGCAGCTCCAGGTTGTTTGCTTTTTCCTGGTGATATTTTTCTTCTTTGTCTGTCTTGCCATCTTCCCCGACCAGTCCTTTAGTTTCTTGACTCTCATCAAATTTATATTAAATCTCTACTCTAGGTACCTGGATCCAGACTCAGGGTTCTGAAAAATTTGCAAAGGCTAGGAAGAGAGGAGAGAAGTTTGAGAAGGAGGGAGAGAGGATGGCTTAGGCAAATGGCGGGGAGGCTGGGAGGGGTCAGAGATTTACAGAAGATCATACAAGCCACACTACCAGAAATGTCACCTCCTTGAGTCATTTAATCCTTGAGTATCGTGTTCTAGGGATCCCAGCCATTCTATGGCTGCATCATAAAGTTTGATTATCAAGATTAAAAGCATAACTGTGTCTCCTTCCTTCTCTCTTTCCCTATCCCGGCTCTCTCCTTCCCTCCCGCATTTCTTTCTTCCTTCAACAAAACCCACTCTGTAGTCCAAGTCCCACTGGCAGGCGGGCGGGAGGGCGGCGTCTTGGGTTTCCTCTGGTGTTTTGACTCTTTCCCCTTTTCCTTCATGCACTGACTCTAATGTTTGTGGAGAGCTGAGCTACCTTGTGAGCTGTACAGGCTGCCTTCTTGTCCTGAAGCCCACAGTCTAAGGGGCATCCATCAAGGAAGCCGGTGGGTTCCTGAGACACAGGGGTGAGTGCCAGAGAGAAAACAGGAAAGGGAAATGTGTCAGAGGTGAAGGCTTGTGACTTTGAATTGGGGGCTCCAAGAAGGTCTTCCTAAAGAGAAAATGTTCGAACGGAGTCCTGAACAAGAAGGAGTCCTGCTCCAGGTAGACTTATCCATGTAGGATCAATGCAGGCTCAGACTGCCCCAGCCTCCTATTCAGCCAGGGTTGAATTCCACCCTGTCTTTACCCCAAAACGGGTGTGAGAGGCAGAGGTCAAGAGGGCTGCTGAGCCTGGAGTGACCCAGTCCTGGGCACTTTAATGAGGATCCAGGTAACCCTTTGAAAGAGAAAACCCCCTGGTCAGGTCTCCCCCAACAGAGAGTCTCAGGTTTCAGATTTAATTATGGAACTGAGGAGATGGCCCAGCCTCCATCCTGTTCCGCTGGGGTTCAGCTTCCCTGGGAAGAGGCCTTCCTGTCTCCAGCCCTGCAGGCTCTCCAGGGTACTTACCTCAAGCAGATGCTGGCTGCCCCGAGTCAGTGCTCCCCATGGCTCACTCACAAGGCGGGTAGGAACAAGAGGTGCTGGAGAGAGCCTCGAAGCAGGACTGGCCTTAGGGGCTGCCAGCACTCAGAGCTGCAGCAGCTCCAATTATGATGTCACAGACAGACGGAACCGCTTTCAATGCCAGGACCACGAGCAGGTCTTTGCCCTCCTGTCCTCACAGTTAGGGTAGAGCAGTAGGAGCACTGAGTGACAACAGCAAAGCCCCTGCGAGTAGCTCCCAGTTAGGCACTTGATGGATGCTGGCCAGTAGTGTCTGAATCGTCTCGAAACCATTTATTCAACGCTCAGCGAAGGCTTGCATTCCCTTAGACGGTGTGCCTGGGATCAGACGTGGTCTAGCCTTGGAATGTTCCAGGCTTTGGAAGAGCTAACGTATCCATAATGTATGTAACTTTGGAATAGTTACACATCTGTCATCTCGAGAAAGAGGCAGAAGTGTAGACATAACGTTCAGTAATATGTTTTATGCACTGCATATGCATAGACTAAAAGCAGCTGTTTTACAGTATTTGCCTGGGACAGGGCAGGTGTAAGGGGTGTTTCCCTTGTGACCAGATGTGAATGCTCTTGAAGGTTATGCTTTAGGAAATCTTAGATTTTTGGGGTTTTTTTGGAGTAGGGATCACCAATCTGCAGTACTAATCCCTTTCCTTTCTCTCTCTCTCTCTCTCTCTCTCTCTCTCTCGCTCTCTCGCTCTCTCGCTCTCTCGCTCTCTCTGTCTCTCTCCAACCCTCTTTCCCTCCCTCCCTCCCTCCCTCCCTCCCTCCCTCCCTTCTTTCCTTCCTTCCATAATGAGACTTCAAGAAATTGTAATGTCCAAGGTTATCTAGGTATCAGGCAGCGGTCAGGGTCCATCCTCTGTTGACTTAAGAATCTGTGCACCTCACAGTTTGGCCTTGCCAAATTCTTCCTTTTGTAAAGGTTTATTTTTTTTAATTGTGTATGTGTGATGTGTGTATGTATCTGGTGTGGTATGTGTGGGGAGGTGGTGTTTGTGTGCACATGTACATGCGTGTATGGGAGCCTTAGGAAATGGATCCCCAAGAGCTGGAGTTAATGTGACCATGAGTCTTCCAACATGCCTGGGACTTGAACCTGCCCACAACAAAATACACTCTTTTAACCCCTCAGCCATCTCTCCAGCCCCTTGGTTTGCCAGTTCTTGTTTTTTATGGAACTGGGACTTGAACCCAGGACCCTATGCATGCTAGGCAAGCGCCGTACCATTGAGCTATACCCACCGCTTTTTGCTTGGCTGATGGATTGTACAGGCTCCAGCATGACATCATAAGACAAATTGAGGGAGGAGCCATCCCTTCCTGAAAGTGTGTTAGAAGTGATCTCTAGAGATAGTTGATATAGGCAGTTTTGCAGAATTAGCCCCGTTAATGGTTTCATGGCATCGAGGTTGGAGAGGAAAAGTGTAAAAAGAGATATCAGAGTGGAAAATAATTCCCAAGGCTGTGTGTGTTTGTTTGCTTTGACTCCAGTAAATGTGAACAATCCCTTCATCGAATCTCAGTACATAGGCTGTGAGAGGGCCTCCACTTTGACATGTCACCACCCGAGATGCAAGAAAGGACCTGTGGCCTCATAGCTCTTCCTCTGGTTTCGGGATCTGGGCGTGTGAGAAGAAGACAGACCATGAGTCCTAACACCGACCCGAGGACTTCCCTATATTCTCAGGGGTGGCCTCTTCCCAAGGACAGGGCTGAAGCTAGTAGTCAGCTGTGAGTGACATCCTGGAAGGGAGAAATCAGACAGGAGCCATACAGGCCAGCAGGACTCCTGCCGATTTGCTCCCAAATCACAAGGCCACGGATGTTCTTCTCCCATTTCACCCTTGAGAAGATGCCTTCCCTCAACTCCCTCCAAAAGGACTTCCACCAATCACAAGCAAGGTCGTTTGTATTCACAACTTAGTAGATAATAAATAATACTTACCCCAAGGTATTAGAAATGCGAACTGACAATAAAGCTGGTTCCCGTCTTCTCACACCTAATTCGAGAAAAAGAGCGCTGGAACATCAGCCTGTCCGAACATCCCTCACCAAGTGAAAGCCTGAAACATTTATCAAAGCGGGTAGTGAGTTTTCTTTATCCGACAGCCCAGGCAAGTGCTGGCTGTGGCCGTGGTGATGGTGAAGCTGGCTGAGGCCCATCGCCAGCAGCAGCCACATGCAGGTAACTTTCAAAGTGCAGTGGGTTTTTTCCCTTCCCTTTGACCTGATGTCCATCAGTAAAGCTTTCAGGACACGGGAAACTTTGAGCACTGGCAGAAGGTCCTCCCCCTACCCCCCACTCAGGCAAATGACTGTCTTGAGCATGCTTGCTGGTACATTCCTCAGCCTCATCTCCTCAGGGGCATCCCCAAAAATCTGACCTGACTCTTTGTATGTCTCTTCTCCATAAATCACCCTCCACTCCAGCTTCCTTGAGCTTTGGAGGACTATCTTCGAACAAAGTGTAACCTGGCTCAGAAGGTGAAGAACTGGAGACGTAGGTACAAGCCTGCTTTCGACCTGCAGGCGGTGGAGGTATGACTGGCTACCCCAGAAAAAAAATGTTCTCGGTTTGACTCCTCTGCAAGCTCAAGAGAGGTAGCCCAGAAGCACATGCACTTAGAATTTCACGGTGCCCACAAGTGTGGGGGAAACAGTTTGGAGCAGCTGAACTTGGTATCATTTCTGGGATGCCAGTTCCCAAGAGAGGCTGGTCAGAAACGAACCAGGGTCCCAGAGCCAACCTGAACTGGACTCCGTAGTGGGTCTGGTTACAGCTTTGGCCCACGTGAACTTGGAGGCTTCCGAGGGGCCTAGCTTCCCGGAGCCTGTTTCTTTTTCTGGAAATAATTAGAGTCGCATTTCTCATCTCGCCGGGTTGCTGGGAGAATCGAATGACACAGACTGGACGCAGGCACTTCCTCCACTCCAAGGTGCTCTAAAAATAAAAGGCATTATTTTCTAATGAGGATGAATCTCAGGTCACAAATTCAGTTTTACCGACGCAGGGATGGATTTCTGTCCACCCTGTATCATCTTTCTATTTCAAGCGCTCTATCTAGGGTTGCTGGATTTTAGCAAACAAAACTACCGAACATCTAGTGCAGAGTGCCCTGTGTTGTGTTTGACACCGTTACCTCCTCCGTCTAGGCCACTGGGAGTCTCTGGAAAGAATGACCCTTGTTCTAGGACACAGTTCTAGGGACTTTAGCAGTGTTAAACCAGTCACCAAAAATAGGTGGAAAACAAATACAAATTAATAGTTTTAAATATGTTCCAGCCATAATGAAAGTATTTTCTATTTACCACATACTTAAATATATCAGGTGTAGGGCTATCTCCCCCAGGCTTTATTCTACATTTGCAATGGGGGATGGGCACCTACTATTTCGTGTCTTACTGAAGACATTAAGTAAGACATGCATTTTCGTGTTGTTGTTTAGGTTCTGTTTTGTTTTGTTTTGTTTTGTTTTAAGCTAATTTTGGTGGCCTGGAGCCATTTAGCCAAGTTTGAGGATTCTGCATGAGTCAGCTGCTTTTAGAAGAGAGGGGCTCTACTGTCAATAACTGAAGCTGAGCAAATGCTTCCTCCTTGCATTACTGTGGTTCCTTTGTTTTGCTGTGGGTTACGCTCCGCCGGAACAGTGACCTAGTGGAGCTGAGGAGCCTGGCCCAAAAAGTCCACCTGGAAAGGAACTGGAGGTTGCACACAGTGCTTGTTCTTTGGCAGACTGGGGGGGAAGAGTGTTTATAAACGTCCTCCCCATTGTGACATTTGGCGTCGTTTCCAACTAATGACATCTCTGCAAGAGCCCTGCCGAGCTTGTCTGCCGACTACCAAGTTACGATCACCCAGAGACCCAGCTTCGTGGGATCTGGAAAGTGAATTAGCAGGTTGCTGCTCTCTCTCCAAGGGTGCAGGGTGGGTGTGACGTTCAGGGAGAAGAAGGGAGAGCCCGCTCCTCTCGTACCTCACCAGGACCTTTCACACTTGCTATGCGCGCGCGCTCTCTCTCTCTCCTAATTAACCTTTCTGCTTTCTCTTTAACAGGGCGGTCATTTTCGCGCACATTGACATGCCGCCCTGAGTGTGGAAAGGTCAGTCGGCCTCTGTGCAAATCCCAGCTCGGCTCCTTCCCAGCTGCGTGACCTTCCACCAGTTACTTAATCTCTGAACTCCAGTTTCCTCATCAGTCCGGTGCAGATAATCACAGCACATAAATACATTCACCGCGAGGTGACCAGGAGGGTCCTGCGAGAAATACGCTCAGAGTGTTTCTGCAGCACCCGGCACATACAGACTCACGGAGCAAGTTGCTGGGGCTGTGCCTGAAATAAAATAACCGTGAGGCCAAGGAAAGGCGGAAATCTCTCCCGTTTGAAGAAGAAAACAGGCAGAGGGTTCCTGTGCTTGTCCACTCGGATTAGGAAGTCATAATCCATCTTCTAATCAAGAAATCCAGCCAGGATCTCTGGCTGGTCCCTGATCCATCTCAGTGACAATGTTGTGTATTCTAGCTTGTGGCATGTGCTAGCTCCTGCTGTGGTCATAGTCTCTTCCGTAAGGCTTAGAGCTCCCCTGCATAGCCAATACAATACATGTCACCTGGTGGCAGGAATGTAATTGCCTATGTGTCTGGGTGTGTGCACACACCCATGCTCATGCATGCACAGAATAAGCACAATGCAAAAGGCCATCTTCTGATTCGAAAGAACGCAGGGAGAGAAGCTACGGAGTGGGGGGGGAGGGGAGATCTGCTTTGAGAAAGTCAAGGTTGTTACAACTTTAACAGAGCTGGCTGGGAAATACCAGTGAAGCAAATAGGTTCCAATATGCATTCCAAATCTTGCACCTTGAGGTTCACACACGTCCACAGGGGTCATGCAAACACATGTACAGTCTCACCTGTCCAGAGACACCTGCGCCAGTACTAACTAGGGACACATGTTAGAATCTATTACTTGGGGCTCAAAAACTGTGTAGAGTAATGCTGGAATGGAGGAGCAGTCTGATAGCTTATGAGCCAGGAAGGGAAATGGGCAGAAGAGAATGCCCCAGAATTCTGAGCTCTGGGGGGTGCACAGGTGGCTGTTGGGAGTAGTGAGGACATAGCTCCCTGACAGGAACAGCATGCCATAGCACAGACATGTGGTCCCTGCCTGAGGAGGCTGAAGGGGTCAGCCATAGTGTCCAGGAACTGGAGTTCACGGGTGAGAGACACTCAGATCCTAACCAACAAGCTTGCTCTTGGGGACTTTAGAAGGGAGGAATCAAATGGAGGTGACAAAATCTTCTCAGATTTTGAAATCTCGTTTCTAATAGTAACCAACAGATTGTTACCAGTTCTCTATGCTCAGAGATGTAGCAATAAGTGTGTGTGTGTGTGTGTGTGTGT